TCTTTCTAGAGTCTCCACATCTTTTTTACATCGTGGTGACCAAAACTGGATGCCGTATTCCAAGTGTGGCCTTACCAAGGCCTTGTAAAGCGGTATTAATTGCTTACAATTAATCAGGTCCCCTTCTATTTGTGCACCTGTGCCTTGATAAGCCCTAGCAATAACAAATATTCAAAGTTTTAATGTAGGGAGTATTCATTTCCTCTAAAGACCCCCCCCCCATGTTTTTTCCCTGTTCGATCCAGGTTTTGTGTTCTGTCTGAACTTTTCCAAACACGCGCTAAGTGACTGCCGACAGATCTTACAGGATGGAGACTTTTTCAAATAAATCTGGGCGGTGCTATTAAGAGGTTAGAAGGAAATGGCTATGGTTTACAAAAGCTTGAACATTCGTAACTGTCATCCAGACTAACCTGCTTGCATTGAAATTAATTGGTAAATCCATCTCCGTTTTTGATAACTGCTGCTCTGTATCAGTTCAAACCCAACACTGCACCTCAATCACTTGTCTCATACACGGTGAAGGTCTTCGTGGGGACAGCCTATCTGCTGAATTAAGTATGTAATAAACAGAGTTTTGAGCAACTCGGAAGAATCTGGTGCTTCCAAGTTCATTAACCAATGTCAATACACATTTTTTCTGCAAGTCTTTCCTTGTTCAATATCACACAGGAAAAATACACTAGGAGGCCTGGAAAGCAATTGGCCGAATTTAATAAAACAAAAAAAAATTACCAATTGCAGAACTTAGAATCATAGGATTGGAAGGGACCTTGGAGGTCTTCTAGTCCAACCCTCTGTTCAAGGCAGACCTTATACTAGCACTGATGATGTTACCTAGTTTAGGTAATGAAACATCTGCAAGAAAACAACCAAGCTCAGAGAACATCCAGGACCCCACAGTTGTTATTGTTACAGTTCTTCTTCTTCTTCTTCTTCTTCTTCTTCTTCTTCTTCTTCTTCTTCTTCTTCTTCTTCTTCTTCTTCTTCTTCTTCTTCTTCTTCTTCTTCTTCTTCTTCTTCTTCTTCTTCTTCTTCTTCTTCTTCTTCTTCTTCTCCTTCTTCTCCTCCTCCTCCTCCTCCTCCTCCTCCTCCTCCTCCTCCTCCTCCTCCTCCTCCTCCTCCTCCTCCTCCTCCTTCCTCACCAATCCAGACCATCTCCCATTTTTTGTAGAATTATCATACTTCCAACTCTGTTTGGGAGGAGGCAAATTATCCCCAGATTTATCTTCAACTCATCTTTTCCTAAATCCACGTTGATTCTTCTCTAGCAACATTCGTCCTTTCCGTTTTCTGTCTACCATATTCAGGATGATTTAGGGTGAATGTAAGCCTATCTCCCACTTCCAAAGCAGTAGATGATCATGTACCTCTGTTACCATATTGTTGGTGAAGTCAGTTGATTTATCCAGCTTTAAGATAAATTATACGGGGGACAAAACCTGTCTCCCTCTCAGGTAAATATAATATTTATCTTTAATAGTAAACAATAAATACAGTATTTATCTTTGCAGCCTATTTACTAAGAGCTTTATCAGCCTAATTGGATTTACTTATATGGATTCCTTTTATTATTTATCATTTACACAGACTACTTTACAATCCTCTGGAATTAGACGTCTGCCGGAGAAGCTGTTCTTAAGGATATCGCACATAAAAATATCAATATCACAATGGAGTTCAGATGGACAAACAGCCAACTGTTTGTTTCTGATTTCTCAATAAATCCAAAGCTTTCATTGCACGTGATATGATTTAGTTTTTTTTGAAACTCTCTTCCTAAAAAATACAAATTCAGACCCGATTCTCTGCATTACTTCTTTTCCAGTGAAGGCAGAAATCAAGAATTAATTCAGCTTTTAATTTGTCCCAAAAGCTCTTAATTTTAATAGCAAAATACTCCTGTAGATCCCTTTCTATCTCTCTTACTCTTTTATGAGTTCTTGCATTAAATTTCTTTTTTTTCTTTTTCTTCAAGTGCTGAATTCTTGGACTTTTTGGTAGCTTTCCCGACTTCTGGGAACCACTTATTATTATGGTTTCTAATATCCTCAAAAGCTATGAAAAAATGCACCTTTCCTGATTTTTCCTTAGAACTTCCTTTTATCAATCCTTTTATTTTAGAGGAATTTCTTCGCTGAATATCTGACGTGGCTACTTGCATATAAATTAGATAGCATGGGGACCAGCAGCTCCAGCTCAGTCATCAACACTCACATTCTGCCAGTTATCTAGATGTTTAAGATAAACCTGGAGTTTCTTCCCTCTATCATCCAGGTTATGGAAATAAAACATTTCGATATAAAACACCGGAGGTCTTCAAGAAAAGATGGGATACCTATTTGTCCTGGATGCAATAAGGCAGTGGTTCTCAATCTGTGGGTCGGGACCCCATTTGGGGTCGAACGACCATTTCACGGGGGTCGCCAAACAATGCAGTCCGCCATTTCCCCCCCCCCTTTTCCTTAGCTGTGCTACTCCCTTTTATTCTACTGGCTTTTGAAAGCCAATAGAACAGACTCTCTTGAATAGACTCTAATTCTATTGGCTTTCAAAAGCCAATAGGAATTGTCCAGGCTGTCTCTGCCCTGCTGAGCCCACCAAAAGCCCCAGTCTGCAAACAGTGCTGCACCAGTTGAATAGTCCTTGACTTACAACCGGTTGAGTAGTCCTCGGCTTATGACCGGTTGGGGGTCGCGGCATTAAAAAGGTTGAGAACCACTGCAATAAGGTCTCCTGCCTTGACTAGGGGGTTGGACTAGAAGACCAAGGTCCCTTCCAGCCCTAGGATTCCACGATTCTAATCTCTTAGGAATTACAGACTCCACTTTGCTTTTTTTTTTTTTTCCCTTTGTCATAGCCAAAACAGGTCTATCCAATTGATGGGAGATCTTGAAGACACTCCTCACTCTAATCTTTTCCCCTTTGATAAGTTTTTTCCACGTCAAGATCATTGACCTTGGTCAAGAGGACAACAGCCAGTCCCTGTAATTGAGACCCATCCTAACTTTGTGGGGAATTGACATGTCTAGTTTTATGTTGTATAATTACTACCGCATTCCATGACCAAATTTGTGAACAAGTTGTGGTCATGATATGAACCCCTTAACAACTAACATGAGGCTCCTGAGAGTTCGTAAGTACTTTCCTCCCTCATGAACAGTGGAACTGCCTGCCAATTGCTCTCATTATCCCAACTTTTGTAATAAGCAAGTCCCATCCGGCTGACATTTCTATCATCCACGCAGCTATGATGGTTTGATGACCGATTCACTCAACTTTTATATGCCTGGCTACCTGTGTCATGTCTTCTGTGCGGAAACTTGATTTATTCACCATCCTGCCTTCATTTATCTTAACCTCAAGGGAACAATCTTCCTCTCAAAGGCCCAAAGGGCCATTACACCGCACACAACTTTTGTGTTGTTAGATGAACAGCTGGCTTTTCCTTCAGAAATTCAAGGCAGCACCCTAAATAATTCCTTCCAATTTAACTTGTGACCTTAGATTTTAATGTTCAATTTTAATGTATATTTTAATTGTGTATGCATGGACATATTTTCACGCCTGTAAGCCACCCGGAGTTACTCTGTTGTAAGATGAGCAGTCAACCAAGTTTATAAATAAATAAAATAAATTTGGATGAGGTAAGTTGGACCCAAATACAGCGACTGATCTTCCATTGCTGAAGATGGAACCCGATTCTTTCTTTTAAGGCTTTATTTCTAAAGTTAAAATACAAAATCCCCCTCCAAAAAAGATAAAAAAAACCAAAACAATACAAAACTGGGAAAACGTGCATAAAGACAAAATATAACAGAGATACAGATGGCCCTCCCCCCTGGTTGAAGGCTGATATATTTCAACAGTAAGTTTCTCTCCCTTGCGTAACAAGACCACAATTTATGAACGTCTACATCTCAGAATAATAGAATAACAGAGTTGGAAGGGACCTTAGAGGTCTTCTAGTCCACCCCCTCTGCTCAAGCAGGAGACCCTATACCAGGGTTCCAACCAGAGGGGTAAAACAATATTCCAGGGGGTGCAAAAACTTGGGTTTTCAAAATTATATATGCATAATTCGTTGCCATTATTTCAAACCTTTGTAAGGGGTGCGAGAATATATCAGAAGCGTTCTAAGGGTGCGGGGTATAGAAAGAGGTTGGGAGCTGCTACCCTATAATATTCTGGACAAATGATTGTCCAGTCTCTTCTTAAAAGCCTCCAATGATGGAGGACCCACAACGTCTGGAGCCAGGATGTTCCACTGGTTAATTGTCCTCACTGTCCGGAAATTTCTCCTTAATTCCAGGTTGCTTCTCTCCTTGATCGGTTTCCATCCGTTGTTTCTTGTCCTGCCTTCAGGCGCTTTGGAGAATAAATTGATCCCCTTCTTCTTTGTGGCAGCGCCTCAAATATTGGAACACTGTTATCATGTTCCCCCCTTCTTTTCATTAAACTAGACCAGGGGTAGGCAACCTTGGCTCTTTTATGATTCGTGGACTTCAACTCCCAGAATTCCTGAACCAGCCAAGCTGGCTCAGGAATTCTGGGAGTTGAAGTCCACAAGCCAGTTGAAGTCCATTCTGGGAGTTGAAGTCCACGAGTTGAAGTCCACAAGAGCCAAGGTTGCCTACCCCTGAACTAGACATACCTCCAATCTCTACTTGCTAATTTACTATATAGCGTTTAAAAATATTACAAATATGAAAATCTATAATCAATCGACCAGTTAGACCTACCGTGTGCCTACTGTAAGAGACAGCAATTAACGGGCAATGCCAACAAGGAATCTTAATTCTTTATGATCCAACGTTTTATTTATTCTTTCCCCTGGCAGCCCCTGCCCTATCCAGAACCCTTTCCCCTGAGGTTTTGCAGGCCTCCCCCCTCCTCGTCTTCTATAAGACTTGAAAACCTTATTAGATTTTAAAGATTAGATTTTTAAAATTTATTCGGTTTACATTTAAAGAGAAAATTAGAAAGTCACACATTAGAACTGATTGGTGCCAGGTTTTTATTGCTTTTATTCTTATCATCGGTTGAGTTTCCTAGTTTTAAAATGATTTTATATATCTTTTAATTTTTTTTATTAGAAAAAAAAAATTCTAAAACTCCTCACTCACCCAGAGTGGGTTTAAAAGATGGGCAGCTGTATAAATGTCTAAAATACATATTTAATACATTCCCAGGATGACTGCAAGAATCTGCATAGATACATAACCATACAAGAATTCATATGTGCAAGAACAGAATAAACATATTGTCCTTATAAGTACCATATTTCCCTGAAAATAAGACTGGGTCTTATATTAATTATTGCTCCAAAAGAGGCATTAAGGTTTATTTGGTGGTTAGGTCTTATATTTGGGGAAATACGGTACTAAATGCATCCAGCCGGCTGACAATCCTAACTGGGCCTTATTTTGGGGGTGGAGCTTATATTATGAGCATCCTAAAAAATCATGTTAGGACTTATTTTCCAGTTGGGTCTTATTTTCGGGGAAATACAGTACAATAATACCAACTTTCTGATATACTTCATGGAAAACATTTAACATTTAATCACTTGCATGTAGAAACCAGAATTGTAATTTTTTCTAGATCTCCTTACACAATAGAATCAGTTTGTACTGCATCAGATTTTGAACATACCTAAGTTATAACATTTTATTCACAAACAGTATAAACATTACAATATATTTCCGGAATATATACAATTCCTAAGCCTTTCAATGTGCCAGGATGAGCTTCGTATTTTCTTAAGAAAGCCCAACGCTTGTTATTAAATATATTAAATTAATATAAATATATACCTCTGTATGAATGAGATTGTTTCAATCAATCAAGCAGTGTCCATGGAAGAAGTTTTAAAAAGGGGGCGACAGTCACTCAATTGAAGCCCCTCCAATTTTTGTACATGCAGAGCTGTGTTTTTCAAACTGGGCCACCTTAAGAGGGATGGACTTCAACTGGGGAATTCTGGGAGTTGAAGTCCACCCCTCTTAAAGTGGCCCAGTTTGAAAAACACGGTTACGGTACACGGTTTTTTCTTAAGTCTTGCTCTTGACGACGTTCAATTCAGCGCGTAGTTGAATTGGTTTGCAAATTTTTCGTGCTTCCGTTGGTCGATCCGATTCATTGCTTTGACGATTCGCTTCACTGCGCCTCTGCAGAGCAGAACAAGGAAGGAAAAAAGGAACCCAAACTGTTATTTCATACACAGGTTGGCTTGGCCAATTTTGTTGGCAAAAATAACCAAGTGGGCCTGGTTCATTGCTTCTTGTCCTGCCCTCTGGTGCTTTGGACAATAAGTTGACCCCCTCCTCTTTGGGGCAGCCCCTCAAATACTTGAAGACTGTTATCCTGTCCCCCCCCCCCGGTCCTTCTTTTCTCTAGACTGGCCAGACCCAATTTTGGAACCGTTCTTCGTAGGTTTTAGTCTCCAGGCCTTTAATTGCCCTAATTGCTCTTCTTTGCACGTTTTCCAAAGTCCCAACATCTTTTTCGTAATGGGGTGACCAAAACTGGATGTAGTATTCCAGGTGTGGTCTTACTCAGGCTTTATAAAGCGGTACTAGTACTGTGTGCGATCTTGATTCTACGCCTGTTTATACAACCCAGGATTGTATTAGCTTTTTTGGCTGCTGCCGCACACGGCTGGCTCATATTTGAGTGATCGTCCACTAGGACTCCAAGGTCCCTCTCCCAGTTACTGTTTTTGAGCCAGGTCTCACCCAATCTGTACTTACACCTTTGGTTTTTCCTGCCTAAATGTAAAACTTTGCTTTTCTCCACACCGAAACTCATTTTGTTGGACAGGGCCCGTTGTTCAAGTCTGACCAGATCGTTTTGGATCCTAAGCTTGTCTTCTGGGCTGTTGGCTTTGAGCAGCGGCAAACCAATTTAATAAGTAATGAAATAAATAAATTTATCAGCATCCTGCTGCCCAAGGATTCCTCCTAAAACACCTTTTCCGATACGAAGCATTTAAAAACCAACCTGATTAACCAGACGCAATCTGCCACTCTGGGATGTGTGTGTGTGACAGTTTTAGGCCAGGAACTTAATTGGCAGGAGAAAAGTGAGTCCTTAGCACAACACAATGGCCTTGACACTTTTGTGACATGTACTTTTTTATTTTTGCATTAGCACCCCCGGCTTGTGAGATACTGTAAATGAAATGAGATCTCTCCAGCCTGATCGGTGTGCAATTCCACTTTAGCTTTATTGGCAGGGCCAAGCCTAGCTCCATCACCTGCACATTTCAAGTAATTTGGGGCTGTTATATATAAAGCCAAGGTTATCATCGTGTTTAGGGCCGCAAAGTATGAAACCTATTAAAATATGACAGATTGTTTTCTCATGCCTGGTGCTTGTCCGCACTCAAAGTCATTAGTCCCGAAGCGCAAATCCACTAAAAAGAAAGAAAGGAAGGAAGAAAAACAACTTTTGAATTTTATTTTCTAAATCTGATGTGAAATTCGCCTTATTAGTGCTTTATGACTTATCGGCGATCCGGAATAAGAGCAGATAATGCCAGATTGTCACGGACAAAGTGCCGCTTGACGAGGAACAGAAGAAAAACCAGGTTAGCCTCGTTATTTATAACGGGCGTGACTTCGAGACGAGAAAAAGAACATGGTTTTTAAACCACGAACTTTCCTCAGAGGAATTCCTCCGGGCTTGGCAGGATCATAAACACTAATGTTTCTGTTAGGGACAGACGGCGTTCTGCTTTTTTGGGGATTTAACAACATCTGCTCTGCTTCGTTGGCTTTGATCCTACAAGAGACGGGTGAACTTCAAAGTCCTGGCAGCTACCAGGTGGGCTGTCACAGGTGGGATGTCTTTCTCTGCACACAACTCTGTCTGAAATAGCACAGGGTTTCCTGCCTGAGCAGGGGGTTGGACTAGAAGACCTCCAGGGTCCCTCGCAACTCTATATTTCTGTTAACGTCTGTTAAACTCTTCCGGGCTGGTCTGTGACAATCACAAAAAATGGACTGAAAGTCTTCAAGGCCATTGCTCCAGATCCACAGGTAGTCCTCGACTTACAACAGATCATTTAGCGACCGTCTAAAGTTAGCGGCACTGAAGAGAGAGACCTACGACCGTTTTTCACACTTATGACCTTTGCAGCATCGCCAGAGTCACGTGATCAAAATTCAGACGTTTGGCAACTGATTCACATTTACGACGGCTGCAGAGTCCCGGGGTCGTGTGATCCCCTTTTGCAACCGTCTGACAGGCAACGTCAAAGGGGAAGCCCATTTCCTTTAACAATTGTGTCATTAGTTGTGATTTTCTTAACAACGGTGGAAGGGAAGGTTGTAAAATGGTGGCAAAAGCCACTTGAAGGACTGTCTTGCTTAGCAACAGAAATTTCGGGGTCAACTGTGGTCGTAAATTGAGGACTGCCTGTATAAGCCTGGCCACCAGAGGGGCTGAGATGTTCTACCTGTGAACTGGAGGGCTCCTCCTGATTCGCGCTCTCCGATTCGGCGGCCAGAAGGGGCAGGAAATTGTGTGTTTCATGAAGAGTCGGTGTTCCTATCACAACATGCCGGAAGACTAACGACACACTTGTTTGTTTGTGAATGAACTGTGGTGTGTAATAAACATTCGCTCCTATGCCAGTGATCATCTTGGACAATCAACCTCTATGCTGGAAACCCCTTCCTTTGCACAAGAGGCTATTCCAGGTTTCATCAACAGGACTCAAAAGGAGTAGAAGAAACCTCGATTTGTGGTTTAATCCTTTGATAAGCTATCTTCTCTGAAGATGGATGTTGTCCGGGCCAGATTTAACCATAAGAAGCTAAACCTCAATTTGTGGTTTAAAACCTTTGACGAGCTACCTTCTCTGAGGGTGGAATCATCAGGGCCAGATTTAACCATGGGAAGCTAAACCTCGATTTGTGGTTTAACCCTTTGATGAGCTACCTTCTCTGAAGGTGGATATCATCAGGGCCAGATTTAACCATGGGAAGCTAAAGAGACTCTATCTGAAAAATTGTCTTGAGGGCAACTGGAGTTGAGATGGGTGCCACTAACAACACTCATTAGCCTTTAATGCTAAGGTTTTCAAATACACTTAGCCAATTATTTATTAAATTTAGGCATCAGCCAACAAAACAACTCTGTGCAACTCACAATTTCTAAGGGGGTGTGTGGGAACAAAGAGAAGTGGGCAGTTTAAGTTAGCCTGTGGAGCTAAAACATTTAAACTCGGGTAGCTGATTTGATTCCAATAGGAATATTATTTTTCCCCCTGGCAGCCCTATAATTAAAGAACAAGTGTGCCACAAGACCCTTCCATGAAATTCTCTTATTATTATTTCTGTCTGTTAATTTTATTCGGGATAAAATTAAAATGGAACCAGTCACGCCTGACAGAACAGTTCGGTTCCATCAAGAAATCCAGGGAGGTCTTTGGCGACTTTAAAGAGCTAAGAAATTAATTTACAGTATAAAGAGGAATTCTGTCCTCCAGCAAAACCCACAGTCTCCTTCGGCTATAAAATGGGCTGTTAAAAACAGAGCAGTGAGTCACTCCCGTTTCAGATCTAAAAAGCTATTTCTTTAACGTTCTATTTAACTCCTCCGTCGGAGGTGGCGGATTCCCTTCCTAAATCAGCGAAATAAGTTCTCTTCTCACTCCAAGTGCACAACTCAATTACTCTCCTAGCTGCTCCCCCCCCCCTCCCAAGCTATGTGGTAAAATTACTACAGGAGTAGAAGAGGGGGAGATGGGAGAAAGAGAGATGACTCAACCAAAAACTAGACAAGAGGCAGGACAGAGAAAACAGATGGTGGATAAAGGAAGGTTGAATTCAGATAGCTCTCTCATGCGATGTTTCTCAACCATGATACCTTAAAAATGTGTGGACTTCAACTCCCAGAATTCCCCAGCTCTGAGGAATTGAAGTCCACACATCTTAAAAGTTGTCAAGGTTGAGAAACATTGCATGAGGGAGCTATCTGAATTCAACCTTCCTTCATCCACCATGCTAATTGGACAATATTAAGAGGACGACCCGACGCTTGAGACCAAGCTGGCTGGGGAATTCTGGGAGTTGAAGTCCACATAGCTTAAAAGTGGCCAAGGTTGAAAAACTCTGCTTTGATGTGGTTGATGCCACATGTCAAACCAAGGCAGGTTTGATCCAGAAAAGAAACTCGACTTGGCCCAAATTAGCTACTCTACAGAGTGTGAGGTCTCAATAATCCCTCACACACACCCCCCAAAACCCACAAAAATCTGGGAACTCCTTTCTGGTTCTGCCTAACTCAGGGGTAGGCCACCTTGGCCCCTTCATGTCTCGTGGACTTCAACTCCCAGAATTCCTGAGACAGCATAGGGAAACTATGGCCCCTTCAACTCCCAGAATTCCTCAGCCAGCATGGGGGAACTATGGCCCCCTCATGACTTGTGGACTTCAACTCCCAGAATTCCTAAGCCAGCATGGAGGAAACTTTGGCCCCTTCATGACTTGTGGACTTCAACTCCCAGAATTCCTCAGCCAGCATGGGGGAACTGTGGCCCCCTTATGACTTGTGGACTTCAACTCCCAGAATTCCTGAGCCATCCTGGCTCAGCTTGGAAACCTCTCCCTTTCCCCTCAGCGTGGCTGGCTCAGGAATTCTGGGAGTTGAAGTCCAGCAGTCATAAAAGAGCCAAGGTGGCCCACCCCTGGCCTAGCTCCTTTTCCTTGGCAGATTTGGCTATATTCTGGAGAGCCAGGCCCGGAAACCCAAAGTACGTTCACAAGAACGACCCAGAGAACAAGAAATCAAAGACATCCCTTACTTGTTGAAAACCTTTTTCCCGAGACGGGAACGGGGTGTGTTCGCCTTTTGCTTTAGATCTGTGAGGTTGGGATATTTCTTCTTTGCCTTCCCTCTCTTCTTCCCGCCTTTTGCTTTCCTGTCATATTGAGAAGAGCCAAGGTCGACGCCGGTAGCGGCTTCCACTTCTCTCATGAAGTTGGGATCCTGCCATTCTGAGGAGAAAAATAAATGAATGCAACCCATTGCATTGTAGTGATTCACCCCCAGTTGCCTTCCTCCCCTTGGGGTCCTCTGATCTGGTAGCCATCTCTCTCTAATAACCTGTTCTATTCTCATCTCCTAAATGAATTCATATTCTGCAGGGTATTGTGTCACATTATTAATAATAATAATAATAAAGTTGGAAGGGACCTTGGAGGTCATCTAGTCCAACCCCCTGCTCAGTTTTAGGAGAATACAAATAAATAATAAATTGGGACCAGCTGGGCATTTTTGTATTCTGCTCACATTTTTTTTAATATAAAAAAGTAGCTGATTCTAATGAACTCAATGCAAAGAGAGGGGGGGGGAGAGAGAGAATTAGAAAATATATGGCTTTTTCAATCATTGCTTAGGATATCTATCTATCTATCTATCTATCTATCTATCTATCTATCTATCTATCTATCTATCTATCTATCTATCTATCTATCTATCTATCTATCTATCTATCTATAACAAAGGTGAAGAACAATGCCCCTTTATGACTTGTGGACTTCAACTCCCACAAATCATAAAGGGGTCATGATCTAGAACATAGAACAATGTCTGCCTTTCTTTCTTTCTTTCTTTCTTTCTTTCTTTTTCCTTCCTTCCTTCCTTCCTTCCTTCCTTCCTTCCTTCCTTCCTTCCTTCCTTCCTTCCTTCCTATCCCTCTACATCTATCTATGCATCTATGCATCTATCTATCTATCTATCTATCTATCTATCTATCTATCTATCTATCTATCTATCTATCTATCTATCTATCTATGAATCTATCTATGCATCTATGCATCTATGCATCTATCTATCTATCTATCTATCTATCTATCTATCTATCTATCTATCTATCTATCTATCTATCTATCTATCTATGAATCTATCTATGCATCTATCTATGCATCTATCTATGCATCCATCCATCCATCCATCCATCCATCCATCTCCATCCACCACCCACCCACTCACCAATCCAGTTATAAGAAGAGAAGAAAGATCAAACAACCAAAATCAGCACATTTTCCAAACCACTTGCACTCAAGAAAATGTCAAACGTAAACGGGACTATATGATTTTATAGTCTAAGGAACAAAAGCAAAGACATCCAAATTTTCTGATTTAAACCTTAAAAAAAATTCATACCTACTGTATCTTGTACTGACAAACAGCAATACCTGAGTAGGGATCATTTCAGTATTATAAATTAATACTATAGTTACGAATAGGAAAAAAAAGCTGCAGATATTCCAGATTTAAAAAAAACCATGTAGGAGTTCATGAATCAGGAGCTATTAGCTTTGTGAGTCTAAAGGGATTCAAAGAAAAAGTCTGAAAGGAAAAAAAAAATCACATATTCTCTCTCTCTCTCTCTTTTTCTCTATCTCTCTCACACACACAAACACATACACACACACACACACACACACACACACACACACACACACGTGATGAATCACAAAGTTTGTTTTTTATCGAAGCAAAGGAACCCAGACACAGGAACAATTAATCCCAGATTAACAAAAAACTGTCTAAACTGTTTATCTCCCAGTAAATAAGAAGGCCGGCGCTGTGGGGACCGGCTGAATGGTGCAATTGTTTAAACACAACGGGGGAAACGCCGCTGTGTTCACTGAAGATGAAATGAACAGCGGAGGAAAATGAAGGCGCAATTTAAAAGGCTGGGAGGAAAAATCGATCGGGTGCCAGGAAGAAGGGCCGTTTCGGCACCCTGATGGAAGGAGGGGAGCCTGAAGTTCTCCGGGCATTGTTACCGGTTTAGCAGCAGGGGGAAAAGAGAATTACGGCGCCCGCCCGCTCGCTTCTGAGGGCTGGGCGAAATCAATACTTCGTAGTTAGCGAAGAGATAGTATTTCACATCTGGCTGGCCAGCGGCTGCCTTCGCTGCCTCCTCCTGATACCTGTTTGTTAACAAGTCACACTAAAGGTTGGGAAGACCAGATCTTCTCCAGGGCTGACACAAAAAATAGGCACTTAATTTGCTCTCCCGTGTGAGCTATTGTCGAAGGATGAACGGGGCAGATTAGCGGGTCAGGCTAATCTCCTGGGATTCGTCTTCTCAAAGGACCCCCGGGCTCTGCTCGGCGGCCTTCGGGCCCGGGGAGGGACATTGTCAAACCGTGTCATGGAGGGCCGCGCGGTTATTACGCACAAAGGAGCAGGGATGCCCGGACCGAAAGTGAAATTAACGGGGGAAACTCTGCTCCCCGTCGTGCACTGGGGGGGGGCAGTCTCTCCAGCCTCCCCCCGAGAGAAAAATACCTACGATGTATATGACCCACTAAAAAACAACGGTCACTCGCTTGGCAAGTAGAAAATGATCCAGAAAGTATTGGGGGGGGGTTAATTTCAAGTTACGACAATTCGGCCCCATTTGTTAAGTGAGTTTTGCCCCGTTTTACGACCTTGCTCGCCTCAGTTGCTAAGGGAACCCCTGCAGTCAGGAAGTTAGTCACACGTTGGTTAATTGGATTTGGCTTCCGCTGTTGTCTTTGCTTTTCTGAAGGTTGCAAAAGGGGATCAGATGACCCCGGGGATGCTGCGACCGTCATAAATATGAGTCAATTGCCAAGCATGCAAACTGCTATCATGTGACCCTGGGGATGCTGCAGTGGTCATAAGTAGGTGTCGGTCGCCACGTGTCTGAATTCTGATCATGTGACCCGTGGGCGATGCGGCAACAGTCGTTTAAGTGTGAAAAATGGTCTAAGTCCCTTTTTTCAGTGCTGTTATTACTAAGAATGGCCACTAAACAAACAGAACAATTAACCAATGACAGTGAGGACAATTGACCAGTGGAACCACCTGCCTCCAGAAGCAGTGAATGCTCCAACACTGGAAGTTTTTAAGAAGAGACTGGACAGCTGTTTGAAATGGGATAGGGTTTCCTGCCTGACCAGGGGGTTGGATTCGATGACCTCCAAGGTCCCTTCCAACTTTATTATTATTATTATTATTATTATTATTATTATTATTATTGAGTATCTGTACACAAACGGTAACCTAACCCAAAATATAAAATTATTGATTGCTGGGGACTCCCAAATCAAGGAAGCAAATTCAGGGCTAGACAATATTTCTCATTTTACAAATTTCTTCAAATTTCCATCCATAACAAAATTGCATCGGTTTGTGTGGGTGTAAAATAGAATTCAAGATGATGATGATGACGATGATGAGGTAATATAAAGTTGGAAGGGACCTTGGAGGTCATCTAGTCCAACCCCCATAGTCCTCGACTTTACAACCGTTCATTTAGCCACCATCTCCAATTATAACGACACTGAAAAAAAGGGACACAGGACCTTGCAGCGTCCCTGGGATGGTCACGTGATCAAAAATTCGCATGATTGGCAACCGACTCATATTTACAAACCGTTGCTGTATCTTAAGGCCACGGGGTCCCATTTTTCGATCGTCTGACAAGCAAAGTCAACGGGGAAGTTCATTTAGCGACCGTTCACAGTTGCAATGGCGCTGGAAAAAGGGCCTTACGACTGCTTTTCACCCTGGCGACCGTTGCAGCAAGCCTGTGGTCACATGTTCAAACCTGAGACGCTTGGCAACTGGCATGTACTTACGACGGTTGCAGTGTCCCGGGGTCATGTGACCCCCCGTTTGTGACCTGCTGATGAGCGAAGTCAGTGGGGGAAGCTGGGTTCACTTAACAACCGCGTTACTAGCTTAACAACCGCAGTAATTCACCTAAAAGCTGTGGCAAGAAAGGCCGAATGTTTCGTTTAGCAACAGAAATTTGGGTGGTCAGCTGTGGTCAAGGCCGAGGGCGACAGGTATACTGATTTACTAGACTCACCTCGGAGAGTTTGCGACACCCAACGGCTCTATAAAATGGATCTGAAAACCCCGCGACTCACCTGGCTGCTGTTCTTTCTTCTCAAACTGCTCCTTTGCTTCTCTGTCTCTGTCCTCTTGATTGAGCGGGTTCCCAGATTCATCCCGAGGAACTATTTTTCCATGAAAAGGGCACTTGAGGATGAAACAGTGACAGGGATGTTTAACGGTCCGGAGTATGCTTCCGTTACAAGGTTAATTGGCTTAAACCGACCAGAAACATCATCAATTCCATAAGACGTTTATTTGGAAAAGGTACGTAGATAATTCTGGGATATCTTAACATCCAGTGACAATATTCACCCATAGAGAGACAATATTTACAATAGCCTGTGAGATCAATAAATATCTCTCGTTTCTAGTCTTTGAAAAGTTTCCAATTTCTAATCAATAAAGATCAATAAATATCCCTGTTTCTAATTTCCGAAAAGTTTCACTTGAGCAAACACTGAGAAAAAAATAAGATTCCCATTACAAAAGAAGTTCAGGGTATTAAATTTGTGGAGAAGACTCTTAATAATAATAATAAAGTTGGGAAGACCTTGGAGGTCATCTAGTCCAACCCCCTGCTCAGGAAGGAAACCCTATACCATTTCAGACAAATGGCTGTCCAGTCTCTTCTTTAAAACTTCCAGTGTTGGAGCATCCACAACTTCTGGAGGCAGGTTGTTCCACTAGTTAATTGTTCTATTGTTAATTGTTCTTGCGAGTCCCCTGGACTGCAAGGAGGTCCAACGGGTCAATCCTGAAGGAAACCAACCCTGACCGTCCTTTGGAAGGACAGAAGCCGAAGCTGAAGCTCAAATACTTCGGCCACCTGAGGAGGAGAGAGATTCCCCTGATGATGGGAAAGATGGAAGGCCAAAGGAGAAGGGGACGGCCTGCAAGGAGGTCCAACGGGTCAATCCTGAAGGAAACCAACCCTGACCGTCCTTTGGAAGGACAGAAGCCGAAGCTGAAGCTCAAATACTTCGGCCACCTGAGGAGGAGAGAGGATTCAGTGGAGAAGACCCTGATGATGGGAAAGATGGAAGGCCAAAGGAGAAGGGGACGGCCGAGGAGGAGATGGTTAGATGGTGTCATCAACACGATGAACGTGAAATTGGGCAAACTCCAGGAGACACTGGAGGACAAAGGGGGCCTGCCATGCTGTGGTCCGTGGGGCTCACGAAGAGTTGAACTCCATTTAGTGTCTGAACAGCTACAAAATTAAATTTGTTCACCCTCTTTCCGACTCTTAATGTCTGTTTGTATCCGGCACTCTCTTCCTCTGACGTCTTTCATCACGTTTAAAACATTACAGTAAATCAGGGGTCTTCCAACTTGGCCCTTTTATGACTTGTGGACTTCAACTCCCAGAATCCCTCAGCCAGGCACGCGTGCCTGGCTGAGGGATTCTGGGAGTTGAAGTCCACAAGTCATAAAAGGGCCAAGTTGGAAGACCCCTGCAATAAATATTTTAAAGAAGTGCCTCTTTGAAGGACGAAAGGTGAAAAGGGGGGGGGTTGATGTCTTTCCCCGACGTCTTGTGTTGCAATTTTTTCATCCACTTAACAACCTCCGAAGTAGGCTAGATTCCCCCCCCCCCCCAAAAAAAACTTAATGGACCCAAGTTTCCTTGGCTTACAAAAGCAAAATTCTGGGCAAGTTAGTGAGGATCAGGTGGGGCCTTGTGTACAAGGCTGACACAACATAGCTCGCTTACTCCTTCATACCCACCTTAAACCTATCCTGTCTCTCGCAAAGGCTTCCGTTGGGCATCGGGGCCCGGCACTTGTGTGTCACGGGTTCAAACCTGCCAGCGTAGGTGATGTACCGACTTTTCAGCATCTCCGAAAGCTCTTTGTTTTCTACTTCTTCATCGACTTCGCTCGGTGCCCAGAAGCGATGCTGAGAAGAAAACCTAGAGAGCACAAAAATGCAACAATAAACACCAATATAAATTCCCCTGTGTGCTCGTGACGTCCCGCTCTGGAATTAAGGAGAAACTTCCTAACAGTGAAAACATTTAACCAGTGGAACAACCTGCCTCCAGAAGTTGTGGATGCTCCATCCAACACTGGAGGTTTTCAGGAAGAGACTGGATAGCTATTATTATTATCAACATCATCTTTTATTCATTAGACATGAACCAACATTGGAGGTTTTTAAGAAGAGACTGGATAGCCATTTGTATGAGATGGTATAGGGTTTCCTGACTGATCAGGGGGTTGGACTAGATGACCTCCAAGATCCCTTCCAACAACAACTTCTTCTCCTTCTCCTTGTTATTAATGTTATCAATGTTATCTTTTATTCATTAGACATGAACCTCAGTCAACTGAACATTCAAATTGGCTGGCAATTATTATTATTATTATTATTAGTAGTAGTAGTAGTAGTAGTAGAAGTAGTAGTAGTAGTAGTATCTAATAAGTGGCTGAGTTTAGTGGCCCCCAAAAGACATCTTAATTTATCTGCAGGGAGTCCTTGACTTATGAACACAACTGAGCCAAAATTTATATCACTAAGTGAGACAATTGTGAAGCGAGCATCGTCCCGTTTTGCGACGTTCCCTGCCACAGTTGTTAAGTGAATCGCTGCAGTTGTTAAATTAGTAACATGGTCGTTAAATGAATCTGGATTCCCCCATTGACTTTGTTTGTCAGGTCGCACAAGGGGATCACGTGACCCGGGGACACTGCGACCGTCGTAAATGTGAGGCCAAGCGTCTCAATTTTGATCACGTGACCCTGGGCGGATGCTGCTCCGGCCGTAAGCGTGAAAAATGGTTATAAGTCCCTTTTTTTCAGGGCCGTTGTAACTTTGAACAGTCGCTAAACGAACGGTCGCTAATTTGAGGACCCCCAGTACACGCTAATTTCAATCAAGAGGTGTTTGAAGTGATTCATTTCCAGAAATGTTCCTTTCCTCGGTTATTAGATTCGCTATCTGGAGTCCTCCAGAATAAAACTCTTCCAAAAAGAAAAAAGAATTATGTGATTATATAAATAGGAAAAAAAAAGTATTGTGATTTTGTTGAAGTTCCAAATGTCATCAGAGACTAAGGAAGACCAAATCAAGCCATCCAAAATCCGTTGTTTCTGGAGATGATCGTCACACGGTAACCCAGACAAAATACAACATCTCCTCTCCTTGATTTGAAGGAGTTGGACTAGAACAGTGGTGGCGAACCTATGGCACGGGTGCCAGAGGCGGCACTCAGAGCCCTCTCTGTGGGCACGCACACCGTCGCCCCGGTCCTAGGCCTTCAGCTGGGTTTTATAAAACCTTTCCGCTTTAGGCCTCCGCCGCCATGTGCAAAAAAAAAAGGTTCAATCAATCCGTCAATTTCAACTTCTCGCGGGGAAAAAAAAGATCTTGCAAAGTTGGAATTGATTGATTGAACTTTTTAGTCCCACCCAGTCTGTCGTTACCACCGCAGCCACGCCCACCCAATGGGCCACACCCACCTAATGGGCCACACCCACCCAATGGGCCACACCCACCCGGCACTCGACGATGCATAAGTGGGTTTTGGGTTGCAGTTTGGGCACTCGGTCTCTAAAAAGTTCGCCATCACTGGACTAGAAGACCTCAAGTCCCGTCCAACTCTGTTATTCTGTGATTGTGAGAAGCGTCTTTGAACGATAAAAGCAAGTTTGGAGCTTGGTTCAAAGGAAAAACTATCAATGATGGTGGAAGTTGTCCCCCCCCCCAAAAAAATGACAATGAAAGTTGAAAGTTGAGGGAAGGCAGCAGAAGAAAGTCTTGACTTTGTTTCCTGATACCCCAAAACAGCCTTACTGTTGACATCTTATGCCCCCTAGCGGATTAAGAGTAAGCTTTCCTGGAAATTTAACAAATGTGGATGACCACCACTTATTTTCCCATTTCTATCAATTCCCAAAGGTGCTTTTTCCAAAAGGCAACTGCGTTTTCTTGGTTTTTTTTTTTTTCCCTTGAAAACACTTCGCTTCTCATCCAAAGAGCTTTTTCGGTTCTTTACTGAGTTTGTAATTTTAAAATAGGGCTGCTGGACGAAGGGAGGGACATTGCTTCCCAAGAATCAGGCTTCAGATTTTAGCAAGAAGCAAGCCCTGGGCCTGGCTAACCCCTCCCCCCCAAAGGATAACCAGCAGAATGTATATGCCATGCTGTGCAAATTGACACGGAAAAGACAAACACCTAACAATTAGTAATAAAAGCCAGGGACCCGAGCGTGTAAGATGTACAAGCATTGATCCTCATAAGCATTTTTGGAAAACGTGTTCCATATTTTGGACCAGTTTATTACCTGAGGATCTTTCCAGATGTTGGCTGCTCCTGGCCCCAGTAGAACAGGTCGATCCCAAAAGGCACCAGAGGGGCTTTGGCTTTCTCTTCTTCACGTTGACGGTTGGCCTCCTTGGATGTTGTCGGTTTGCAATCCCTACAACGTGCGTGAAAAATGGTAAGAAAGCAGAAAAACAAGCCTGTTCTAATGTTAAAGGCCATTTTGTTTCAGCTTGGACTCAAATTTGCACGATGCAACTTGTTGTTATAGGCAGCTCTAGGAAACCACCTGATTTATTGTGCATTCACAGCAAAACTCAGTGTGTTTTGGATGCTTGGGGAGAGAGGCAGTCCAAACAAGATCCAAGAAGGGGACTACATTTTACATCCTTCTTGTCTTTAACAAGTATAATTTTAATAATTGTTCATGCTTTCCATCTATTAGGCCAGTGGTTCTCAACCTGTGGGTCGGGACCCCCTTTGGGGTCGAATGACCATTTCACGGGGGTCGCCAAACAAGTCCGTCCGCCATTTTTTCCCCCTTTTCCTTGGCCACGCCCCTGGCACCCGGTGATGTATAAGTGGTTGGGGGTCACCACAACATGGGGAACTGTATTATGGGGTCGCGGCACTAGAAGGGTTGAGAACCACTGTGTTAGGCTGTTGTTTACTCAACTAAAGAGGCTTTTTCAGGAGGCAACTGGATTTCCTCGTTTTTCTTTGAAGATGTTTCGCTTCTCCTCCAAGAAGCTGTTTCTTCTTAGGCTGTTGTTTACTGCTTGACTTTTTGTCCAAGTTGCTGCCTTGTTGAGTTGGGGGTTCCAGGAAACAAACTTAATCCAGGAAACCCCCCCCCCCAACACTCATAGGGCAAACCATATGTATATAAACAGAGAGTAAACCAGTGGTGGGATTCAAATAACTGAACAACCAGTTGCCTGGGCCTCCGAGGCCTAAAATGGACTTCCAGAAGTGGCATCTATGCACTTCTTGTGGGCCGTTCTAGACCTCGGAGGCCTTCCCAGGCCTCCGAGGCCTAGAACAGAAGTCCGGAAATGGCATCCACTTCCGGTGGGCCATTCTAGGCCTGGGAGATCTCCTCTAGTCATCTGAGGCCTATAACAGACTTCCGGAAGTGGCATCCATGCACTTCCTGTGGGCCATTCTAGGCCTCGGAGGCCTCCCCCAGGCCTCCGAGGCCTAGAACAGACGTCCGGAAATGGCATCCACTTCTGGTGGGCCATTCTAGGCCTGGGAGATCTCCTCTAGTCCTCCAACAGACTTCCAGAAGTGGCATCCATGCACTTCCAGTGGGCCATTCTAGGCCTGGGAGGCCTCCTTCATGCCTCCGAGGCCTAGTCTGGACTTCTGGAAGCAGTGTGCATTTAGCTGGTTCTCCAAACTCAGCAAACCTGTCATATCCCCCCCCCTCCATTGAGAGAAGACTGTTCAGTTTTGACCTAGGTGGCCTCTTGCATCCCTCTTGCATACTCAGGTGACCCTGAGGACACAGGTAAACCTCCAAGTGGCCTCAAAGACTCTCAGAGAGAGAGTGCAAATGACCAGCTGTCTGCAAGGAGTATAAATCCTTCCCTTCCCCACCATCCAGTCAGAGCAGAAGAAGCTTCTTGGATGAGGAGCGAAACGTCTTCAAAGAAAAACAAGAAAGTCTAGTTGCCTCCTAAAAAAGCACCCTTGGGATACGATATCTGTCCAACATCTGGTACCTACTTGTCCTCTGCAGTGGGCAGTCTGGGCAGTTTATCTCGGATAACTTTCCACGTGGCTGCAGCAGAGGTTGGATCCAGCTCTTCCTCCACTATCACAGATTGGGATAAGAACGGAGACCTCATCGGCACCGCTTGGTTCTTCCCAGTTCCTACCGCACTTTTTCTTGTGGGCAACACAGGTTCCAGGCCTCAAAGAATAAAGGCAGAGAGAATTGTTGAGTAGAATTATTGCCAAGTGGTGCATAAAATCCTCCAGGAGGGAACACCTGGTTAGCTTGGACAGCTAATTTTGTACACAGAATAAGGTTCTCGGGCAGCAGGATAGTCTATCAGTTCAAAATAAGACATTACTGATAGCAAATTGTTCAAAGAAAGCAAGAAGTATAGATAAAGAATTTATTGATATAAATAAAAGGACAAGCAGAAAAAAAAAAACAGGTCTTTGAAAAGACAGATCAATCCACCAAATGAATCTTTCTAGAATTTTCCATTTTTTTCCCCAATTGTCCAAATTCCAGCTTCCTGGTTACCTATCCATTAGTCAACACCTGTATCTGGTCCAGGCAGTTCTTGACTTACAACAGTTTGTTTAGTGACTGTTGAAAGTTACAACGGCACCGGAAAACGTGACTTAGGACCGTTTTTCACGCTTAATGACCCTTGCAGCATCCCCATGGGCATGGGATCAAAATTCAGAGGCTTGGCAACTGGCATGGACTTATGACAGTTGCAGTGTCCCAGGGTCACGTGATCCTCTTTAACCACCTTCCGAGAAGCAGTCCATGGGGAAACCGGATTCGCTGAACAACCGTGTTACCAACTTAACTGCAGTAATTCAGTTAGCAACTGTAGGAAGAAAGGTCATAAAACGGGGCAAAAATTCACTGAAGAAATGTCTTACTTAGCAACAGAAAATCTGGGCTCCATTGTAAGTCAAGAACTACAGATACTGGAATTCCACAGCCGATCCAGAGCTTCAGAGTGTCTACATAGGTGTTTCCATCTCAAATGCGGTCTGAATGCTTTGAAGGGACTTTAAGGAGATTCTGAGGCAACTCTGCAGAAGTAATTCAGGATTTCCTGGCCGCCATTTTGAACCTGGGCCTTAGAGATGATAAACGCCTTTTTGAGAGTTATCGAAATAGCTCTGCCAAAAGAGCCAAAGATGCCAAAGCAGAGCTACACATTTAAAAATGGTAAACCAGGGAGTGTAAATGTTAAGAAATAAAAAAGAAAAAAAGTGGCTCATACAGTAAACAGAGAGCTGCTCGTTTTAGCAATATTTTAATATAATTTATCCATAAACCCACATCAGGTTATATGAGTTTCCATTTCACGTGAAGCAAAATGCTTCCAAAATTACAATTCCAGACTTTAAAGGTATCCTTTGCATATTTTCAACTGTCCATCACACCACTACAACGCCTCAATGAATACATCATTTAATATTTTCGTCGGCAGACAAAATAAAATAAAATCCAAATTCTCTTTTTCCATCCCCTTTTAAATTGACCAAATGGCACCTATTTGCCTGCAGGAATAAAACAGACCATCCTAAAGAGATCAATCAATAGAAGGAAAGGCAGAGGCTGGGTTTCCCCCACAGAAAGTTGGACCGGGAGAAGGCTGACTTTATCGATTTTAGCTCATTCGGCTAGCCTTGTAATTAAAATGTAAATTTGAGAAAGAGATCATGTCCTGACAGAAATGGTGGGATTGGGGGGGGGGGAGATAAAAACTCCTCAGTAAAAATTCAGAGAAAATAGAAGAGCAGACGTCATCAGGAGAAATGCACACCAAGCAAGAACATAAATTATAAAAAAATAAAACTTTTTGCTGAACCGGTTGGCTTCCTACCTGCCTTTTCTATATACAGGTTCAATTCATCCAACCTACAAAAAATATTGATTAATGGGAGCTAAAATCCAAAGAATTTAGGCAGCAGAAGTGGGAAGCCTTTTGTGTTCTGCTCCACATAAGAGGAACAAATGTTGTGTGAAGACCCACAACCCTTCTTGTGTTCCAAGCTGACTTTGATCTGAATTTGATGTTGTTGTTGTTAATTGCCAAGTCGTGTCCGACCCATCGCGACCCCATGGACAACATTCCTCCAGGTCTTCCTGTCCTCTACCATCTTCTGGAGTCCATTTAAATTCACACCATACTGCTTCAGTGACTCCATCCAGCCATCTCATTCTCTGTCGTCCCCTTCTTCTATTGCCCTCAATCTTTCCCAGCATTAGGCTCTTCTCCAGTGAGTCCTTCCTTCTCATTAGGTGGCCAAAGTACTTGAGTTTCAACTTCAGGATCTGGACTTCTAAAGAGCAGTCGGGGTTGATCTCTTCTAGGACTGACCGGTTTGAACGCCTTGCAGTCCAAGGGACTCGCAGGAGTCTTCTCCAGCACCATAGTTCAAAGGCCTCAATTCTTTGGCGCTCAGCCTTTCTTATGGTCCAACTTTCACAGCCATACCTTGCAACTGGGAAAACCATGGCCTGGACTATACGTACTTTTGTTGGCAGGGTGATGTCTCTGCTTTTTAGTATGCTGTCTAGATTTGCCATAGCTTTCCTCCCCAGGAGCAAGCGTCTTTTAATTTCTTGGCTGCAGTCCCATCTGAGGTGATCTTGGAGCCCAGAAAAATAAAATCTGTCACTACCTCCATTTCTTCCCCATCTATTTGCCAGGAATTGAGAGGGCCGGATGCCATGATTTTGGTTTTCTTAATGTTGAGTTTCAAGCCAACTTTTGCACTCTCCTTCTTCACCCGCATCAAGAGGCTCTTTAGTTCCTCTTCACTTTCTGCCATTAGAGTGGTATCATCTGCATATCTTAGGTTGTTGATATTTCTCCCGGCAATCTTAATTCCAACTTTTGATTCATCTAGCCCTGCCTTTCTCATGATGTGCTCTGCATATAAGTTAAATAGGCAGGATGACAGTATACAGCCTTGCCGGACTCCTTTTCCAATTTTGAACCAATCAGTGGTTCCGTGTTCGGTTCTCACTGTTGCTTCTTGACCCGCATATAGGTTTCTCAAGAGACAAATGAATTTGATGTAGAGATGCGCAAATGTGCTTTGGATCCAGTTTGGGCACCTGATTTTTATATATATTTCCTGATTTTAAAAATATCTTTAAAAACATTTTCTTATATTACTCACTAAATGTTTTAGTATATCTCTGTGCCTTTATCTACCATCACCCATTTCATTCTGTGCTTTTTTTACTGGAACTCCCAGCATCACTTTGCTTCAAATATACACTTCTACACATTAAAATAACCTCTTTTAGTTTTTAAGTATTTCATTAAAGCTTATTATAAGATAGAATACAAAGAGAAACAAAAATCGAGAGAGTTAAAGAGAAAGGAAGTTCAGAAAGAAGAGAAAAAGGGGGGGAAAGTTGCAGCTTCCAAATTTTTTTTTCAGTGCAGTAGAACGCAAACAAATTAACAGCCCTAACCCTGTTGCTTTAAGTACATTTCCAGATGTTTCAACCCATTTCATTCTAGTCGTCAAAAGTTAAAGTAAAATTAAAGTCTTTATTGTTTTTCAGTTTTGAGTACGGAATCCAGAAGTGGTTTCCAAATGGAAACCAAACTAGATAAATTCTTTCCTTCAGTTGGCTTTGCCATCTCTGTGAAAGCCAGATAGCAACTTACTCTTTCATCTCTTTCCACTTTGGGGCATACACAGTAACGAAGTTCCAAATCTTTCTTTCAAGGTCTCTATCCACCAAATTTAAAGTAATTTCTGACAGCCATTTAGGGGCCCATTCTCCACAAAATGGGGCTCTTTTGCAGGAATACTGGGGATTTTGAGTGCAAAAACGGCCCCCATCCATTGGTGATCAGGGGCAACTGTAAATAAGGGTTATACAAATGAGGGGTCATTAAAAAGCCTGGTAATATTAATTTGGCATGACACCCCTTAATGGGTTATGTCTTCACACTTCAGTTGCCTAATCGCCGAAATTCTTTTGCAAATTTACATTCCATCTTGCCCACAGAAAATCCCAAGTGGCTCTAACATCTATCCCAAAAGTCATTCCTGATTGCCCTAATTGCAGTCTAGAGGTACTTTTGCAGCTGTGAGATTAATTAAAACCTACTCAGCTAACTGTTTCTGGATGGTAACTGTTTGGTTTATAAGAGAAACCTGGTGTACAAAGAAAATAAATAATTGGTTAAGCAAGAAACGGATTGTTCTAAACTTGAAGGATAAAGTTGAAATTGCAAAATTCAGCGCTTCTTCTTGTATCTCCGTGCTTGGGATGACAAGCCATCCAAGTAGCAGTTGAACTTTTGAGGTTTAGCAGGGTGCAAAAAACCTTAGGAACTGCCCATTTTAAACAAGCGTGGGTTTCAGAGCAGAGTGCTTTAATTAAGAACAATTTAATTTTAATTCCAAGATAAGCAATTTATAATTTGCTGTTAATCAGAAAGCAAATTCAAAGGAACCTGGACAAGTTTATCTAGAGTTATTTCCTGAAAATGTGTACAGATCACTGGGCATCTAATTCATATCACAGCTCTGCAGGTGGACAATAAGATATTTTGAAGCAGATGGGGTGGCTGACACCTGGCCTGGGATTCCTTAATGGAAATACATCGTATTTCAATTGGAGCTGTGCAATCCCAGCTTTTTTTTTTTTTTAAGGATATTTTGAGGAATTACTGATGGATGCTATGCAAATATCCTAGATACCCTGAAGTAATTCTTCACTTTTGAATTTGAAGCCTGCACAGCTCTGTTAAGTCTTGCAAATTCCTTTTAGAGCAGGGGTAGGCAACCTTGACTCTTTTATGACTCGTGGACTTCAACTCCCAGAATTCCTGAGCCAGCATAGTACAACTGGCTCAGGAATTCTGGGAGTTGAAGTCCACGAATCATAAAAGAGCCAAGGTTGCCTACCCCTGCTTTAGAGCATCCACCGTTCGTCTTTGCTTTTACTCCTCTAGACATTCAATTAGGAGACAGTGTTTTGTTTTTTAATCTATTTCTAGTAGATAATGAAATTAGGAAGGGTGCTTACCAACATTACCACCCAATTGGGGGTAGGCCAAATCTAGATGTTGAGTCATTTTTTTTTTTACTAGCAAGGCTACCAAATTTTAAAATCTTCACTTGAAGAAGGATATCTTTTTCACTGACAGGTTCTTCCCCATGATGAGTAAGGAATAAATG